CCCTGCCCAGCCAGCAGGTAGGAAGGCAGCACTTGGAAGCAGATCCTCCTGGACGACTCTTTGCTGGAGAGGTGGATCATCTCCTTGTTCATCTCGTCAGGACAGTGGTACCGCTGAGCCTCATGACTGCCTGCTATGCATCCCCACCTTAAACTGTTGCCAACCTAAACAGCATAACTGTTTGTTTAGCTTTTTTTTTTTTTTTGGAGCAGGTCAGCAAAATAACCTACTGACTAAACAAAGATAGGAGATAACTAGATTCATTTCTACCAGGTTTGTGCCTCCCAGACGTTTCCTCGTTATTCCATCTATGTCCTTCCGGTTTACCTGTTGTTTCATACTGACTCCCTTGAGGAAAAGACTGTAAAAATGTCTAGTTTTGGTGTATAAACAGCTTAAAAGCCTTTTCCATCAGTTCCACACATCTCAGCTCAACTCATCTCAGCGTGGTTTCAAGTTATTTCCATCAGTAATGTGTAACGGGATGAAGGTCCTCTAATTTGTGGCAAAGGGCACATCTACCCAGCTGGGTCAAGCTGGGCCAAACAGTACTTTTAAATCCACAGATTAAACTTGGAGCCACAATGTCTGGAAGATCATATACATATCTGCTGCTGTTCCGTCCCAGGAGGAGGACACTTCATGTTCAGGATGATAATAATTAGATAATAATAATTAATAAAACTCATTGATTTTATTACTGTTTAATATAATCATCATAAATGATCACTTGGTTCAATTTAAAGGTATTTTAATGACATGAAATGAATTTATGCTTTGGGTATAATAATAATAATAATTATGATTATGGTTGACGATGGTAAAAGATGTGTTCAGCATATCAGAAGGTCAGTTCACCTTATCCATCTAACACAGAGTCCAGATAAACGATAACTGCAACACATGTTTTTGACGCATGATCAGAGCTTTCTTCCTGAGAGAGTGGGAGTGTCCTGAGAGCTTGGTAAAACCAACCATCACCAGCTTCAGTCAGTTCTTGAACCAACACCACGGAGGAAGGGAACGGCCGTCCCTAAAACCTCCACCTGCTGTTCCAGTCACGTCGACCAGAATAGCTAAGAATAAACGCAACTGTAACCAGCTAACGAAGACTCTACCCAGAGTCATTGATTTCTGAGTTAAGTTAAGACGAGAACGTCCATCCGCAAACGCTCAACAACTGTGTACCCGGGACATCTCTGGACCAGATGATCGGACACTCGCGTCTCCCCTGCCGGACCGAGTGTCATCTTGGATGAACAACATCCTCCTGATCTCCGGATCCACAAGAGGGTCTCCTGTTTGGGTGAGGTAGAACACGGGAATGCGTTTGATGCTGTTTTCTCTAAGTGAATAACTCAGTTAGCCTCAAAACATCCTTTTCATCCAAAACGCTTCTTCTTTCTGTGAAAGAAACCTTCTAATAATTCCATTCACGCATCCAAACTTGTATTATCAATTTAGCTTCCATCCAGCCACAGGTTTGCCTTTAAGCAAGTTTAATATCAAAGCTGTTAAAAATTGTCATTGAAGTGTCATCCATGAATTGTCGTTTATAATTGTCCTTTCAAATCTTTAAGTTTAAAATTGTTAGTAATAAAATGTCTTCATTTTTAAACTTGCCTCATTATTGAAACAAAACACAGAAAATGTACATTTCTGGTTATTTGAAAGCAAAGATCCTAGCTTCTGATTCAAAATAACTTTTGCTATTGAATTTAAATATTTAAATTAAACGTTACTCTTTGGATTAAAATTAGACCAAACAGGTTGGTGTATGAACTTAGATCGATATATAAGTATCCGGAATATTTATACATGATCTAAGCCTCATATGGTCATTTTCAGAATCTAACAACTGATAGCAAACAGTGTTGATTCTCATGTGTAGTTTAATTCTCTACAAATGTGTCTGTGGTTGCCGCCCTCTTTTCAGGAGCTGCTTTGACAAAGGTAAGAACGCAATGTCAGAGACTGTTGGTCACTTATTGGTGAGGGGCGGAGTCACTAGTTGCTCCTGGGTACACCCGCTGCCTCTCTGTTAGTTTAGAGTCAGACAAAAAGGGTGACTACGCAGAATCTTCATCATCAACATGTCCGTCAGTTACAGATGTCAGACCTCGTGCTTTGTGTTGGGTCAGCGCCCTACCATCACAAGCCCAACCCACTAAAGCCTCTTCTGAGCTATAATGAAAAATCAACCCAAACCACACGTGTGTAGGGTTTGGTAAATTGAGTGCTTTAAGAGCTCAACAGATATTTTACCTCTACTTATGACCAATAAGCTGTGATACTCTGTCTAAATATAGAATATCACCCTGCCTGGTCTTTATTGTGCTTTAATCAGAAGACTCTAGGGTTCTTTATTTTAGAGCCCTGCACGGGCCTAAAATCTGAGCCCATGTCCAGCCCGGCCCGAGGGGGTGGAGCCCCAGCCCGACCCGGTCTGTTTTCAAGATTCTCTGGCCCGACCCGAGCCCGACTTTTTTTTTAACCTTTCAAAATGTTTTAGCGTGATAGAATGCTCCACATTCTAATTATCTGTGGGAAGCATTCTGCAGTAAAAAAAATAAAAAATAAAAGAAAAAAAGAAAAGAAAAGAAAGAAAAACAGCATTCATGCAGCTTTTTTTCTAACAGAGCGTATTTTTTGCGTGGCAGATGAAATTTACGAATGCTATATTAATTGGATGCATTTTTAAATTTAATCTGCTCTGAAAATGTGCTCTTGTGCAGTTAGAAAAAAAGCAGCATTCTAATTTTCTAACTGCGAGCGCATTTTCAGAGCGGCAGCTTGAATGAATGTTCCCAATTAATAAAGCATTTGTAAATTTAATCTGCCGCTCTGAAAATGCGCTCTCCAGTTAAAAAAAACAGCAAAGAATGCTGTATTTTTTTTAACATCAGAGCGAATTTATTCACAGAAAAATAGAATGCTGCCGTTTTCATGAGAATAAACGAATGGTTTCTATCAAAGTGGACATAAAATGGCATATGAGAATAGGGGCACATGTTTCAATCAGCAGTTTGAGAATTCGTTTATATTATAAACCACACAGACCATAACTGAGCTAACGGTGGGTGAGAAGCAGGCAGGTGCTGCTGCGTTCAAGTGTTTCAGTTTTCTTTATGAATTCATTTAAAAATAAAGGCGCCCGGCCCGGCCGTGTCCGAGGTAATTACACAGTCGTTGGCCCGAAGCCCGGCCCTCGGGCCTAGGGCCGGGGCGACCCGCGGGCCTAGGGCTTCAGTGCAGGGCTCTATTTTATTTATTCAGGGACTGTAGACACTTCATTTTGATTCAGAAAACAGTCAGGTTTATCAAAGTAAGGATTTATTTTACCAACAATTAAAACGTGACAAGTTAACTAAGCATTTACTGTGATGGATGGAACTAAATGTGATATATGAACCTATGAGTGAATGAGATGTTAGTCAGAACTTCCGTGTCTTGGAGAGTTGAGTCCTGGATGTAAAAGAATTTGGTTTGTGTTAAGCTATAAGTTGATTATTATCAAAAGCTTGTGTTTTTCTGGTGTCGTGCTCTCGTTGTTGATTGGACCTGATTGCACAGCTGACCTAAGCATGCCTGCATGCTGCAGCCAATGGATAAATGGATAAAATGTCACCTGGATGACAGTAGTGTTTTGTTCATGGGAAATGTAGGACGGCGGGGACAAACGTCTCTGACATGAATTGCATGATTGCCTCATGCAAACTGGCTGGGTTTTTTTTTATCTGTATCTGCCAAAATGTTTTTAAAGCCACATTTGTTCATTTCAAACCCTGGATCCAGCCCCTTTAATATTTAACACATCCACCCATAACAAGTAAAGCATGTTTTAGACCAATAACATAAATAACATGTAAAAGGAGAACAAAATGACTTGTGTTTAAACAATTCTATTCTGTTAATAATTCCATTTGCTGCTGTTCCAACAGAGTCCAACACACACTTGCTGTTTGATCTCAGCAGCTAAAAAATACATGCAGGAAATGGTTTGTGGGAGAACAGAAACACCGGCCAGCTGCTATAAATATTCACTGTAGACCTCCCAACCGGAGTCCAGGTCTCGTGTTATATGTCATGGGCCAAACTCAAAGAGGCAGAGGCTCTAGATCACAGACCAGGCTACTGCTGGTGCTCTGAGCTCGTTTTGAGTCTTTTTCATCATCCTGCTTCCTTCAGAGGTTCCTGGCAAAAGTTTTCTCCTCAACTGCAGCCGGGTTCACAGCAAGTAGACAGTCACATGAAAGAGAGCAGCTCAACAGCAGGATCCTTCTGTAAAGGTCGGATTCATGTTTACCATGTGGTAGACGGGGTGATTTAATTCTGGTCCTGCTACATGAAGTTGTATAGATGAGAGTCATTTGTAGTGAATGTTTTCCATCTGTGGTCTGAAACAATAACTTTGATTCATGTAGGGAAGTATCTGACATGTCTGGTTCTGCTGGTGAGAAAACTGGGACCCAGGCTGAGTTCCTGACTGTCCCCAGCAGGACAACGGCAACCATCCGCTTGAGAGACTTATATGATCCAAAGCCTCAAGCTCCCAAAGCTCCTGTGCGGATTCGGCCTCCAGCTCCAAGACCTAACATGTCAGTAAAAGAAGAAGAGGTGAAGCGCGTAGCCAGCGGTCCACCCGCAAAGACAGCGATGAGGAAACGAGCTCAGTCCCTTCCGTCATGGTCGGAAAATAAAAAAGAGCTGAGGAGGATTAAAGTACGCTTCATGGATGCGCTGGGTCTGGATTTGGAGGAGGTAAAAGTCTTCAGAGTTGAGGACCACCCCCAGGTACCACAACACGTAATGTTCCGGCTGATGATGAACTCGGAGTTTACCTTTGGGAAGGCGGCAGAGCTGAGTCTGCCTTACTTCAGACCATGTTTCCCAGAAAATCTGGGGGCTCATCCGGACTTTCTGAAGCATCTGTACTCTCAGAGAGTGTGTCTGGAGCAGGTGGTGTGCTCAGAGCTTGGAATAACGGGTACCGTACAAGTTCTCAATTTAGATTATGAAAAAGAAGTGAGGGCACTCTTTTCCTTCACCAACTGGAGGTCACACAGGGACACAACAGCTGCCTGGGTATCAGATGCACGCTCAGGAGACACGGATGTCTTCAGGTTCCATCTGCCTGTCCCAACCTTCCTTTTGCAGCCAGGAGCCATCTTGGAGTTTGCCATCTGCTATCGTGTAAAAGGATGTGAATACTGGGACAACAACAATGGCAACAATTACAAACTTTCATGCCATAGCTACAAGGTGATGGTGCCAAGAGAGTGTGAGGACAGCCTGCTGCATTTCACCTGAGCAGACACCTGGAGGAGCTGTACCACTTGGAAACACAGATGTAGATAAATAAACAAACTCAGTGTTGAAATGAGAGTAAAATGGATCTGTGCTCTGGACAGACAAACAAAATAAACACTTCACAATAAAGAAACAAGCCACATATGAAGGTTATGTCCCCTACTTAGAACTGGACTTCCTGTCTCACAGAGGACACATTAAAGGTCTATGATGCTAAGGCTGACATGTTCTGAAAGCTTTATCGCTGATGTATAGTTAGAACTTCAGATCTTAAACTAGACCAGAGATGAGAGAGATTCTTCTGTTCTTTTATTTCACTCAAAGCGGGCACGTATACTTTTCCATTCTGGGAGGTTTTTCCAGAGATAGAGCTCTGCAGGAACTCGGGCAGCTTGTGCTACAGTAAACTGACCTTTGACCTTGTGTTTCTTTGTTTAGTTCCAAGAGGTGAAATCTTTGCTCGGTCCTGGATCATAGACAGCTCTGACCTTTGGCTGCAATGCTTCCACTGATATGAGAGCACAGATTCCTAAGCTGTTTCTGGCAGTGAAGGACAACCTTCTGTCAGCATCGGACCAGCTATTTAAACGTGATGCTAGGTGTATCCGCTTCCACACACTGGTATTACACCACTTCCTTGTCTCAAAAGACCCCCATCCCTGATCTTGGCTTGACCCTAGACCAGCTGTGTTGCATAGAAAATAAAACCGGCCTTGTTATCTTGGACTGAAAAGAATTCCCCAGTTGAGACCTGGAAAAGCAGAAAGATGGAGCCTCCGGAGTATGTCAGCTATTATATACAGCTAAACACTACCAAGTCATCTGCCATATTTATGGATGCAGACCAGAGCATCCTCATCATTTAGTTCTATAGCACCTTCCACTACCTTTCACAAATCACAATAAAACCAAGACTGACTTGTGCCTCAACGAGAAAAGGCTAACTGATAAAGGCGTGTCTCTAAACGAGACTTAAAAGACTGGAGGGATGGTGCCTCCCTCACAAGAGAAGGCAACACCTTCCAGAAGCTTGGGGTCACCACAGAGAATGCACCACCACCCCTAGATTCGTATCTAGAGCGTGGCGCTACCAAGAGTTCCCTGTCTAGGGAACGCAAGGCCCTTGGGGGGTGTATCTATGGAGCAGTGAGGAGGGATAGTTGGGTGCAGTGCCCTGTAGGGCCTTATACACGTACAGCAGGATTTAAACTTAACCCGATACTCAACTGGGAGCCAGTGAGGTTGGTCCAGTACAGAACTAATATGCTCCCTCCTCAGGCAGACAGGAAGAGACTGAACAAGCTAGTTAGCAAAGCTACCTCGGTTCTGAGCTGCCCACTGGATACAGTTGAGGCAACGTGTGAAAGGAGGATGCTGGGGAAGATGACCTCCATCTTAAAAAAACCCTCCCACCCACTGCATTCCACTGTGGAGACCATGGACAGCTCCTTCAGAAGCAGACTGAGACATCCCAGATGTAAAATAGAATGCTACCGTAGGTCATTCATCCCCTCAGCACTGGCATTAACCTAGTTCACAATAACACCAATGCAATATTCAATATGAGTTCAATACCGGATTGACATCACATGTCCGTGTCTTTTGTGGTATGCTGCATAGTGTTGGAAGCCAAGTTTTTTCCTTTTTTATTTGTGGGTTTTAGTGTTCAAAAGTTACAATTCTAGACTGCTGCCTATGTGTATGAATACATGTTCCTTTGTTCCGTAACAAGTGAATTTACCCACTGCGCGATCAATAAAGTCTATTCTATTCTATTCTATTCTATTCTATTCTATTCTCAGGGTGTTACTGTTAGTCAGAATGAAACCATCTGTTAAATATCAGAAAATTAGCCCAATTCAACAATTATTAAAGAAAACTGATGCTCTGATCTGATCACGTGTTTTTGAAAGGATCAGAATCGGGAGAAATAAATTGGATTTAACCTTTTAAAACAACAAACATGACTTTTTAAATTCATCCTGACATAGAGATTTTCAAATATAACAAAAATGGCTTAGTTTTAATCTCAATAAGTTCTTCTACATCAATATTTGTTTCATGTATGAAAACAACACAATTTACAGCAGGCAAGTAGCCTAGTGAACTAGACCAAACTCTTGCTTTGCAAAGAATGGTCTAGGCACGCTCCATTGGAACCTCTGCAGCTCCTATCAGGATTCTGGCTAGCCAATCACAGCTCTCTAGAGGGGTTTCAAACACATAAAGAGCTGTGATTGGTCCATAATGGTGGGCCAATCATAGTGCTCTATTTGCTTAGTGAACAAATCACAGAGCTTTATCCACTTTGTGGGCCAATCAGGGCACTCTATATGCCTGGTGGGTGGGATGATGCAACAGAGTGAAACAAGAGTATGTCACATTCATTGTCCAGTGGAATGTGGAGATCATTTGAAAGACAACGGTAGAACCCGCCCCACAACCGAGAGCCGTCAATGGAGCGTGGCCAGACTAAATAATACATTTATTTAGTCTGGCTTGCCAGGCTAGCAGGCAACGACTCAGACGCCAAGTGCAGCTGTTAGCAAGCCTGCTAACACAGAGCTAGCATGTCTCCTCAGGAGAGCTAAAATATCTGCAGCTTGGTGGTGTTTTAAACCAGACAGCAAAGGCAGAGCTAGACATGTGTAATGCGTGCATACTTAGCATTCAACATGCTGGAAAGGAAACAGCTCCATGATTCGCTGCCTTCAAACAAGCTACTTTCGCTGTCGGCTTTTTGTTTCAGCCATCAACAAAGCAAATCACCGGTCTCCATTAAATCCCACTTTACCTCTAACAGTCACAGTTTACAGTGGTCAGACAAAAACGCGGAGCCAGCCGACAGAGAACGTTACGCTAATGAACAAAGGTTAATTTCCAACAGACTGCAAAACATCGGGGTTTCTAGTTCTCCTGCAGCACGGAGCTGCGCACTGGAGATCTAAGTAAAAAAAATTAAATAAAGGACAATTTGGATGTGTTTTCTTCTTATTTTAATGCTTTCCTGATTTTTTCCCCCTTTTTTCTTATTTTAATGCTTTTGTGAAAAGTATGGGGTCGGGACTCGGCAGCGGCAGATACTAAAAATCAAATGACTCGGAATCGGATCAGGGGCAAAAAACGTGATCGGAACATTCCTTGAGAAAAATTTCGCATTTAGAAGAAAAAACCCCGTGAAGTGGCAGTTTGGTTATGTTTTTAGTCTGTGGGAGGAAACTGGAGAAACAGGAGCAAACCCATGCAAGCACAGGAAGTACATGCTAATTATGCAGAAAGATTACAGCTGGGATTTGGACCTGCAACCTTTGTGCAGTGAGGCAACAGTACTATTAATGTGCCTCCACAAAAATTGCTTAGATTAGGGATGTTCAGTATTATCGGTCTACCAATAATATTGGCCTTTATCAGCTTTAAAATGTATTACGGGAAGATATTGGTATTAGTTTTTATTCTTGGATTGCATGGTGGTGCCGTGGCCTTGCAGCACGAAGATCCTGAGTTCAAATCCTGGCCTGGGATCTTTCTGCATTGAGTCTCAGTCTAAAGACATGGCTGCCAAGTTGATTGGTCTGTTTAAATTATCTTCAGGAGTGAGTGTGTGTGCATGGTTGTTTGTCTTGTGTATCTCTGTGTTGTCCTACGATGGACTGGCAACCTGTCCAGGGTGTACCCCACCTGTTTGCCCAGAGACTGCTGGAGATAGGCCCCCCCCCCCCCCCACCCCCGTGACCCTGCATTGGTAAGCAGGTAAAGAAAATTTATGGGTTTTTAGTCTTCTAATGGCCCAGCTTTTACATATCATACACATATTATACATCCAACACTTCAGCTTCTTCTCCTCTCTCACAAAATGCCCAAATGTGACAGATTTGAGGTAAAGTGTTTGAGATATTTTACTTTATTTGGTACAACTTGTGAAGTAGAACTTTGCCCTGCTAAACTATGCAGCACATATGCAGCTAGCCAGCTAACAAACTGCATAAACAATAACAAGAATCTTCACCCAAGGCTTGCTTGTATTACCTTAAGATCTTTATAAATGTTTTATCACCATAGCTGCAATTTACATAAATAGAAAAAATACATTACCGACTAATAAACACATCTAAGCGTCTCGCGTGGAGAGAATGAGATCCGCCTCTTTTCTTATTACTAACTTTATTTGAAGTAGTTGTGATTTTGCACAGAAATGTTTTAAATGTAAGCAAGATAGCAGATGCGGGGTGTTAGTAAAATGTTTTTATGAGAAGGGGACACAGCATATATCGGTTTTAGTTTATCAAAATTTAAGAGTCAGACAGTAACGATATATCAGATATCGGTAAAAAAAAGCCGATATCGAGCATCCGTAGTTTAGAGTAAAAATCATAGTACCACTTTACAAAAAGGCTCACCTTATAAATGACTAGCTAGCAGTTTATAGATACTTTAACACTAATCATCAGTACGTGTTTGTTTAAGCATTATTTAAAGGCAAAACGGATCAGTTTCTTGCCAAATAGTGAGCGAAATCTGTTCTTTTTTATACAAACGTTCATTATTCTTATAAATGTTTCATTTATAGTTTACTTTTATAGAGCAACATATTTGGCTCACTATTTGGCAAGAAACTGGTCTTTCTAGTCTCTTTCTTGCCCTTAATTAATGCAAATTAAACATTTATTAATACCACATCTATAAATGCATTATCGGTTATTTAGAAGAGGAGTCTTACCTTCTCATTTTTAAGGAACTTTGAGCTGGTTTCTTTTAAAGGTTAACTTGAACAGCACTTCATGCAAATGTTTCTCACAAGACCAGATCATGTAAACAAAACAGGGAGGATTTATCATCAGACCTTTTGCATTAAGAGCAGTTCTCATTTCCAGCAAATGCAAAAATATTCTCGGAGTTCCAGCAAGCAATAAAATATTACAACAGTTTTGCATAAATGACGAGCTTCTGCAGCATTTATATATCTGCAGTCACAGACAGGAGGAGAACATCCAAAGTGCTAAGATGGAGACAGTTCTTTTGTACCTCATCACTGCATCAGGTAAAGTCTTTCATTTACAGATTTACAATTGTTATATCTACTGGTCAGGAGCGCCCAGTCCTGGTCCTGAGGGCTGTTTTAGTTTGAACCCTGCTTCAACACACCTGACTTCGATCAGCAGGTGATTAACACGCTTCTTGATGAGCTGCTGCACAGGTGATTCCACCACTGAATCAAGTGTGTTGAAAAACCACTAAAACATGCTGGATACCAGTCCTCCCGGACCAGGATTGCTATACGTCACCCATGGGATGCGTAACTCTCAAATACCTTCAGCACTCCGTACTTGAATGCCTTGCTACTGATATGCAGTACTCAGTATGTGTCCAACACCTGGGCCATACCAGACTTACATAGTATGTCTGTGGCCCTTACAGTATGCTGCATAGTTCTGGAATCCAAGTATTTAATTTTTAATGTATGTTTTTTTTACTGGTAGAAGGTTAAAATACTAGCTTACTGCCTATGTCTAATACTAGCTTACTGCCTATGTGTAATACTAGCTTACTGCCTGTGTGTAATACTAGCTTACTGCCTATGTGTAATACTAGCTTACTGCCTATGTGTGTATACATGTACCTTTGTTATTAGTTTCATAAATTATTCTCTTTATTATTGGTGCTGCTGTAACAAGTGGATTTCCCCACTGTGGGACTGATAAAGTCTATTCTATTCTATACACAAAAGCTTTTCTTTCATTTGTGTCATTTTCAAGAGGAAACATCTCAAAGGTGTTTGTGTTTGTCTGCAGCTTTGTGCTCGGTATCATCTCTTCCTGCACGTAAATATCATTTTGTTTATGAGGTGAAGACCTGGCCTGAAGCTCAGAGATACTGCAGAGACATGTACACAGACCTGATGACCATAGAGAGCATGGAGGACGTGAGGATCCTGAACAACATGGCAGATTTAGGTCAAATGATCTACACAGAATACAGCTATGTATGTCTTGTTTTCTTTTTTTTTTATGATCATACACTCCTTGTACAAGTATTTGAAGGTGTGGCACAGTAAAGAACCATTTTTGATAAATATTTCTGGTTATAACGGGTTACTCTGAGTTTTTCATGCAGGCTGAACATGAAAATAGTCTCCTACACCTGTCTCCTGCATTAGCTTCTGAAATGGTGAAACTCTAGGATTAGAAAATCCTGACAGATCTACGTCACACTGTCACCGAACATTCATGGACTCACCCATCTTGGCTCACAACAGGGAAGGCTGTTGTTCGTTCAGCATCCAGGAAACAGTGGTGAACATCCCAGCTAGCAGAAGTTAACTGTTAGCATTAGCAACTCCATATCTGAGTTTGCAAAACCATCTGTAGATTTAAACAATGTTTGTTTACAGCTGGGATAACAGACTAGTGGGTGGAGTTTAGATAGTTAAGATAAATGTCTTAAACCATTTTGCAGTTACAAATAGTTATCTTTCTGTTTCCAGCGAGCCTGGATTGGATTATATGATGATGTGAACAGCTGGAGGTGGTCCATGTCAGACCCAAACTTCTACCAACCCAGTGAGATGGAGTATAGAAACTGGTTATCTGGACAACCAAACAATCTTGCTGGAAAAGAGAGCTGTGGAGCAATGAATAGTGTTGGATCCTGGGATGATCTGCCTTGTTCTCAAAAGCTAAACCCAATCTGCTTTGATGTCAGCGGTGAGGAGAGCTACAGATGTTTCTGTTTGCCTCTGTGCTTTCTAAAGATGTTATAGTCGACGTTTTACCCCCTCGGTTGTTCTGTTGATGGCATCAGGTAACTATTTTCTGTTAAACTGGGCTGTTTTTAGGGCTGAATGCAACATTTGTCTACAGCGACACCATCATGAACTGGACAGATGCTCAGAGCTACTGCAGACAGAAACACAAAGACTTGTCCAGTGTGAGGAACCTTTCAGAGAACCAGAAGGTGATGAAGATGATCCCATCAGGAAAAAACGTCTGGATCGGCATTTACAGAGACACCTGGAAGTGGTCGGATGGAAGCAACTCCTCGTTTAGGTTCTGGAGTCTAAAATCTACCGAACCCAATAACGTATACAATGAGACAAAAGCAGCAGCAAACTTTGATGCCTCTGGAGGATGGGAGGACTGGAATGTTGACACAAAGAAAGCCTTCATTTGCTACAGCTGTGAGTTTCCATTCTTTAGTTCTGACCATCGACGTATATACTGGACAATTCATTTCCATAGGCTCCAATAACAAGTTTTTGGGCTAAAATGGGAGGTTGGCCACCACCGCCATTTTGACCGTGTCACAGGTTCCGTCCAGCCCAGACAATTCCATAAAAGGGAAGAGAGGAGGAGGTGAGGGTGGGGCTGTAAGGCTGGGATCAACTGATGACACCCGGTCGAACTAGCTACAAGCTAACATGAAGTTAACCCTGGCTAACCCAAAGCTAACGCGGAGGTGGGAGCCGAGCTAACGAATGTAGCCACCTAGCTACAACCGGAGCTAACTCTGTGGAACACCCATCGACCACATGGAGTTCAGGTGGAGGTTTGCGGCGATTTTTCATGAGACGTACCTTTCTGTGAATAAAAAATATTAAATCGATAAGTTTATAAGTTATTTCCATAATGAAAATATATTTTGCTTTGAGAAAGTTTTCACTATTTATCACGTACCGTATTTTCAGGACTATTAAGTCGCTCCTGAGTCGCACCAGCCATTAAATGTATAATGAAGAAGAAAAAAACATATATAAGTCGTATTTTGGGGGGAAATTTTATTTTTCTCACAAAATCTGAGACCAAGCGTTTCACATTGCAAGACAAATACTGTTACGGACCCTGAGTTCTCCAGCACTCAGCTTCTACTCCGCACCCTTATTCCTGCACCATTTTCAGGACCTTGGAGAGCGCCCAGCTCCCTGGCTTCACTCTATGCAGCTGACTCCCATCAGGAATCACCCAGCTGGAGCAGATAAAGATCAGCGCTGCTCAGAGAGGAGGACGAGGGAGAGGAGAGGCGAGAGAAAGAGAGGATTGAGGCTGACAGAGAGAGGACTGGAGAGAGGATTGGAGTGAAAGATTGTTTGTGTTGGAGAACTTGTGGACGGTTGCCCCTGGCTGGTTAAATTTCCACCCGCATAAGAAAACCGGTTGAGCTCCGGTTTTCTTTGCTCCTAACAGAGTTGACTGTTGCGTGGGTGAGTTGGTTCACCAGTGGACCTTTTGGTAAGGCCTCCGGGCAAGCTCCGTTGTTCCTGGTTTATTTTCAGAACCAGTGAGTTTCCGTTCCCATTGTTATTTGCTCCTTTAGTTACTTTAAGCCCTCAGCATTTGTTCCTGCAGCCTAAATTAAACTCCTATTTTCATTAAACAGGTTTTTTTCTCCCTTAGGGACACCTTTAGTTAATAAAAGGACTTTCTTTTGATTGTGACTTGGTGTCAGATTGGTTCTTTTCTTTTCTCACGTTCCTGTGTTAGGCCTCCCTGAACCTAGACCAGGCTGAGGTCGTAACATATTGGGGGCTCGTCCGGGATATTATTTTGTTATTGATTCATTTGTTACGTTAACGTGATTGGTGGTGTGATTTGAGTACCCGTGTTGTTGTGCTAACGTGAGCATGTTTAATTTAAAGGAGTTTCTGGCTGCCCCTTCTCGGGACCAGGTCGAAAGCTTCAAAAGGACCGAACTGGCAGAGTTGGCTGTACACCTCGGTCTCCAAGGCATCCAGAACCTGCTGAAAAAGGACTTAAAGGATTCTGTTATGGCCGCGTTGGAAAAGGAAGGTTTGTTACAACCTCCTCTCAGTGACTCTTCTGATTTGCCCCTGAAACAGGACATGGAGGATGGACAGACTGTGAAAGCTGCTACTTCCGTTCCTGTGGGTGCTGCACCCGAGCGCCTTTCTGTCCCAGATGAACAGGACGCTCTTTCGCGGCAGACGCCGTTCACAGGAGAGAGTTTATCCACCGCTTCCTCTGCTGCTAGTATGGAGAATGCACGTCTTCGTCTCAGGCTGGCCCGCATGAAGTATGAGGCTGAGGAAAAGTCCCGATTGCAGCAAATCGAACTGGAGATCCGCCGCTGTGAGATCGAGGCTGAAACAAAGTTAAAACTGAAACGTATGGAGTTGGAATACCAAGCAAGAGGAGGTGCTTCTTCTACTACAGACTATGAGCACGAGAGGTCCATGGACAAACAGAGAAACGAGTGTGACATCAGCAAGTGCCTTTTTCTGGTGCCGACTTTCCGGGAGAGCGAGGTTGACAGCTACTTCGCTACATTCGAGCGTCTGGCCGCTGCTTTAGACTGGCCCCAAGAGGTGTGGTCCACTATGCTGCAGTGTAAGTTAACCGGAAAGGCTCAAGAGGTAATTGCTTCTCTTTCTTTATCTGACAGCATGGATTATAATAAAGTAAAAGCTGCTGTTCTTGTTGCTTATGAGTTGGTTCCTGAAGCCTATCGTCAGAAGTTCCGGTCACAGCATGTAAAACTCTCCACGCAAACTTATGTTGAGTTCTCTAGAGAAAAAGCTCTGATGTTTGAGAAATGGATCCTTGCCTCAAAGGTTGAAACTCTACAGGATCTTAAAGAGCTAATTCTCCTGGAGGAATTTAAGAAGTGTTTGCCAGAGAGGTTGGCATTATATTTAAATGAAAGACAAGTCTCTTCTCTCTCCTCAGCCGCCCTACTGGCGGATGAGTTTGTGTTGACGCACCGTGTTGGTGGTGTTCATCAGGGTGAATCTGCTCGCCCGGTGTCAGTAACACCTTTTAGAAACTCTCCTTCTCCTCCTCGTCCTCAGAAACCTCGCTGTTATTATTGCCACCTGGTGGGGCATGTCGCGAGGGATTGTGTAATCCTCAAGCGGAGGAATGAAAAAAGAGGGTCTGCTGCGCAGCCCGTGGGTTTTGTCTCCAAGTCGGGAGAAAATAACAGTGGTTTTGGTCCTTTCATGTCAGAAGGACAAGTGTCTCTTACAGAAAGCTGTGAAAAGCTGACCCCTGTTAAGATTTTAAGAGACACTGGGGCTTCTCAGACGTTAATTTCACAGAAAGTGTTGCCATTTGATGACTTGAGCTCTACCGGCTCTTCCGTGTTGTTGGCTGGAGTAAATGCTGTGCCTGTTTCTCGCCCGCTTCACAGAATTTACTTAAGGAGTGGACTTTTTACTGGGTTGTGTGAAGTAGCAGTCTGCCCTTCCTTGCCTGTGGAAGGTGTAGCTCTTCTTTTAGGGAATGACTTGGCTGGAGGTGCGGTCATTCCTCCCCCAGTGGTGAAAGAGAACATCGCACCCGGAGAGTGTGAGGAGACTCCCGCAGGAGTGCTCCCCGCTTGTGTGTGTACCCGATCTCAAGCTAAGAGAGCGCATGAGATTTTGGATCTCTCCAGTTTGTTTGACGATTCGCAGAGTGATGTTCTTAATCCCGCTGACACAACTTCTTCCACTCATCTGGTCACAAATGAAGTGTCGTCCAACATGTTTCCGCTAAGTCCGGCTTCTTTGGAGGCGGAACAACGGTCTGATAAATCTCTGACCGACTGCTTTGAGCATGTGGGAAAGAAAATAAATGGAACTACTGGTTATGTTATTAAGAATGATGTGTTGCTGAGAAATTGGTGTAAACCAGTAGCTAAAAACATCACAGACCGTCGCAGGAAAAATTGTGTTTGTAATGTTATCATGTTGGAAAGATATCTGTCTCCTCAGACTACTGCACAACCACCCGGTGAGGCCGCGGTGTGCGCAGCCGCTGCCATCACTCCAGTTCGGGATGAGGTTACTCAAACCCATCTAGTGGCGCCAGAACTTCCTTTGTGCAGCATTTATCTGGATAACATAGTTACTCACACTTCCTCCTGGGATGACCTGTTGGCTTTGGAAAATCCTGTTACTCATCTGGAACCGACCAGCTTCACCACGAACCTCGCAACTCATTGTTTTTATAAGAAAGTTGCTGCTATGGTAGCTACACTAACATTTTTACTGTCTCCAAAGGTCCCGTTTGTATTGGATGTTGGTGCTCAAGCGTCCTGTGATGGCTGCAAACACATGAAGCCGCCACCGGAAAGGAACCGAGAATGTCATCGCTGTTTGTTTATCGCGACCCTTCAGCACCCACGATCAGTTTTCAGATGGCTGAGATCCCCTGGCTAGGGTGGAGAGATTATTTCCTCTTTAGGGGATAATCTATTTGTTATTTTGTTAGTGTTGTGGCCCATGGGTTAGTGTTGGTGATTCATTTCACCTTCTCGGGAGCACTCCAGAAAGAGAACCTCTCTTTGCTGGTTATGTTTTTTTGTGTCTTTTGCACCGTGCTTAATCTGCCCGCCCAAATCCACATGAAGAGCTAGGCTTATTTTTAGTTAGTTTTTGGTTAGGCAGATGGCGGGGACTCGGTCTCTGTGTGGGCGTTTGGTGTTTCTGGTAGAAAAAAAAGGGAGACACATTATGAGAAAAATGGTGTTTTTATTCTGTTTTCACTTCCACCATTTTTCTTTACTTTAGGTATGGGGGTGTTACGGACCCTGAGTTCTCCAGCACTCAGCTTCTACTCCGCACCCTTATTCCTGCACCATTTTCAGGACCTTGGAGAGCGCCCAGCTCCCTGGCTTCACTCTATGCAGCTGACTCCCATCAGGAATCACCCAGCTGGAGCAGATAAAGATCAGCGCTGCTCAGAGAGGAGGACGAGGGAGAGGAGAGGCGAGAGAAAGAGAGGATTGAGGCTGACAGAGAGAGGACTGGAGAGAGGATTGGAGTGAAAGATTGTTTGTGTTGGAGAACTTGTGGACGGTTGCCCCTGGCTGGTTAAATTTCCACCCGCATAAGAAAACCGGTTGAGCTCCGGTTTTCTTTGCTCCTAACAGAGTTGACTGTTGCGTGGGTGAGTTGGTTCACCAGTGGACCTTTTGGTAAGGCCTCCGGGCAAGCTCCGTTGTTCCTGGTTTATTTTCAGAACCAGTGAGTTTCCGTTCCCATTGTTATTTGCTCCTTTAGTTACTTTAAGCCCTCAGCATTTGTTCCTGCAGCCTAAATTAAACTCCTATTTTCATTAAACAGGTTTTTTTCCTCCCTTAGGGACACCTTTAGTTAATAAAAGGACTTTCTTTTGATTGTGACTTGGTGTCAGATTGGTTCTTTTCTTTTCTCACGTTCCTGTGTTAGGCCTCCCTGAACCTAGACCAAGCTGAGGTCGTAACAAATACCGGTAACAATAACCGAATAATGCGCCGCAGCAGCGCGCCACGGTCTCCAGCAGAGGAAGGCGGTGTTTGAAACCCTCCCAGCAGGACAGGGGAACTCATTCGTGGGTCGGAGTCGGCCCGCAGCAGCGCGGTATAGCGTACATATTTTGTTATATAAGTCGCTCCGGAGTAGCAGGACCGGCCAGACTATGAAAAAAAGTGTGATTTATAGTCCGGAAAATACGGTAGTTATTAGTATTTGAGATAAATTAGCAGGCTAAATACATTTCATATATTTCCAAAACGTAATCCTTGTTTGTATCTTGTACAGCCAACTAGCCTTTATTCTGGACTCAGTACAACTCACCAAAAGTAAAGAGACATTATACAAATGAAGTAAGCACAAGATAACTTACTGGAAGAAACAGAATTATTATCATGAGAACCAGAACAAGAGAGCCTGATAACAGTCATGTGAAAATAACAGTTAAAAAGTATGTGTGTGTAATAGAAATAAAAATATATTAGAATTAGTGTAACTCACTGTGATCCAAACAATAAATCAGCCATAGCTGATTAGCAATCATGAAATGAGGTCTGGGAGTTTTAAGTTTCATTCTTTTATTACATTTTTTTTCTTAGATCTGTTAAAAGGTCACCATGGCAGCCTGTGTGTCTCCAACGTCAGCTACACAACGCAGCGTGTAAGTTCCACATACCTGTCTCACCACTTCATGTATGGTTTTGTACTTTGAACAGCTAGGCCAAACCTGTTATTTTTTTCTCCATAGCCATTTGGATCATCGGTGACAGCTGAGTGAGGCGTGGTGCCCAGAGAGCTGCAGAGACCCTCGGAGACAACCTTGGCCTCCCTGACGTCTGTGTCTCCTGGTTCGGTTGGGGCGGACTGAGGTGGAAAGACCTTCTCCCCTTCTTTTTCAACTCCATGCGAGGAAGAGCAGCTCCTGATGTCCTTCTCATCAACTGTGGCGGCAATGACATGGGGGTGGTCAGCAGTGGTCAACATGATGAAGGACCTGCACCGGCTTCACCTTCTACACTCTCATATCACACTGTTGAACTGTTCTTCCTTCACAACCCAATGTTCCACTCACTCTGCAGCTCTCTGGGCCCCTTTTATTATTTTAAGTATTTTTTAAATGTCCCAACACTTTGTGTCCTGTTTTTTTATAAAATGTGATGTAAAAAAATAAATGTTTTTGCTCAATTACTGGAATTTCTTTGGTTAAGACAAAAAAAGAATCATTTATGCCAAGTTGTTTCTACAACAGGCCTGTTTTAAGTCCAACAGTTTCTTAGCAGCCAATAGAAATGTGTTCTTTACTAACTTCACTTGGTTTAAAAATCTTACTAAAATAAACAGAGTGCTGTATTTCAAAACCAAATCATACTTCTTATGTAAATATTAGCTTTGTAGATATTTTACAGAGATATTTGTGTGCTAAAAAAAACAAACTTAAATAATTTGTCATTCTTTATTGAAAAACAAAATACAGGTATACAGAAAGTGTGAGAAAACGATAATGTGAAAGTATTGCACTTTAAATGTAATCCTATTTATCTTTAAAAAGAAAAACTAAAAATGTCCTGACAGCAACATGACAGAAGAAAGGTAGTCTGTCAGGATGTGCTGAACAGTCTGTCTGTCAGGATGTGCTGAACAGATTTGCTCTATCAAGAGGAGCGTTTTGTGTACGAGTTTATGTTATTGTAATATTGGTTTGGGTTATGTATCTGTGACATGATCCAGGTGGAATGGAAGGTGCCACTAATATTAAAAGGTTCTAAAAAACAAGGCAAGCAGTGTGACAGCCAAAGCAAATTAAAAAGGTACATTTATTACAAAACCCTGATGATGATGCCAAGGAAAAAAAATCGTTCAATCGAGTGTGCGCAGGGCCCCAAGGGACAAGGCGGTCCAGTCCGGCCCTGCTGAGCTCTCAACCAAGGAATCTCCAAGGCCGGCGTCGTCGTCTGGGAACCACAGGATCGTCGCACGGTGGATCCAATCCGCCTCCTCCTCGGCCCGGCCCCTGTGGCACACAACAACTCCGGCAGTTAATAGGTCCCCGGCACCAGACCACTCACAGAGAGAGAGCAACTCTAACACTGCCAGGCTCTGATCAATTACTTACGCTCGGGGGCAGAGTAACCCTGCCCGCCTGCCATGTTGCACTCTGTGCCCTGGCGTCTCCGGCCGCGGATCTCTCTCCCCGCTGTTGCTGCTGCTTCTCCTGCCGCTGCTGCTGCTGCTGTCTGTGCCGCCGGTGGATCTCCTTCCAGTCCTTGCGGAGCTCGCGGTGTCCGTCTGGCTCCGGCCAAGTATTTTCCTTTCCCCTCACGTTTCCGTGTCTCCACGTCCGCTCCCTTAAATAAACAAAACCCTCCGCCCGTTCACCTCCCGCCCTGCCTCTGTTCATTGTTTGCCAGTCCAGTCCACACCCCGCTCCCAGGTGTGGGTAATTGGGGAGGATTAACACAGATGGGATGCAATGTTGCAGCAATCACTAAAAACACCCAAACAGTTAAAAATCAACCTAAAAGCACCTAATCAATTAGAAAATATGCAATATAAAACATAATATAAGAACATTAAACATAAGAACAACATTACCACTCTGTGACATATCGCCACATTAGCATGTAAATGCTGAACCAATCTGGAATAAAGAGGGATGCTGACCAGTAGAGGTGGTTCACCACACTTTGCTTCCACAGTCTCACATCCTGGGTCGTCTTTCTCTTCCCCAGCTCTTCGATTTTCTTACCAATTCATGGAGAGCCAAATAGACCCACATTTAAAATAGAAAAAAAAATCCTGTAATATTCACTATATACATCCCCAAAGATTACCTTTTCCCATGTGCCAGGGGTCAAAGTAGTGACTGATTTTCTATTTTTCCTCCCGCAAAAACATCTGCACTCCTGTGTGGCGGTCAGTCACAACTTGCTGCACATCGACCCCCCTCTCCAAAAGTGTGCTCAGACTTCGCACAAATCCCTCCTTCTCCATTCGCACACTATTTCCAACTTCATTGCTCTGAAAAGAAACATAATTCTCCATTGATCTGTGAATAATTAACCATGAAATGTATTATAATCATCAGGTAATGTTGTACCTGTACGAGTTGGATATCAATAACTTTGTTTCTTTTGAGATCCATCATGGTGTTGCTGCCATATTTGGCTGAGTGTCCTTCAGAAATGCAAGTCATTACTTAATTTACATTTGATAGCAAAGGCATAAAATAAATAAATTTAAACCTATTCACCAGGTGAATCAGCTCGCATGTCACCACCAAGAGTCACAGGTCCAGATTCAGTAGCCTCCTGGATGAAATCAGCTTGCTGTAGCTGCCACTGCCAGCTCACTGTTGGAATTAACAGCTTTGCCTGATGTCGATAGAATGTCTGCTTGGACAGTCCCTGCACATTGAAGGCACCCAGGAACTAAAATATGAAAAGTTAGGTCATGAAATGAGAGATGCACAGACCTTATCAAAACTAACCTAAACATTTTTGGCTTATACCTTAGAAATCTGGCTAAATGATGAGCCAGACTTTCTGGAAGATGAATTTCCGTCATGGTCCCTGTGTCACAAGACACACAGCAGCTGGGAGCTCTAAACTGGGTGGCTATATGAAAAACAAAGAAACAGCACATTTATAAATGTTTAAAAGAGCATAAAATCACGTGTAACAATAATCTGTAAAACAAATTAAAACTAGAAGGTAATAATAAAATGTTTACATAGAATATTATTAAAAATAATTCACCTTTGCTACGGTTAAGGCTTCACGTCAGGCTGGACAAGTGCATCCTTGCAGACTAAATCAGTCTGACAGCCAATGTCTTGGGTAGATTTAGCCTGAAAAAAAATAGAAGCACATTGTTGTTGGAGTTTATAAAGTCAGATAATATACAAAAGAAACTGTCAGATATAGGCGCGTTATAACATTCCTAGTGTGAGATCGTTATTATAACGTAAAAGTCAGTCACATATGATGTGAAGAGCCTGAAATGCGACCTCCTGAACAGAATGCCTTACAGAACCGGGTCACGCTGTGGTGTAAAGCTGGATTTCACGCTGTAATGATGTCTGTCAACTAGTGCTGCGTTAGAGTCACTGTTGCAAAATTACCGACTGACACAAAAACAACCCGAATTTTCTCCGAGCCTGACAGTAATAGTCATGTGGACCGTTTTGTAGGCCAGGGCTTCGAGATATGTTCTGATTCGCCGCTAATTCTAACTTTACATCCCGTTCCACATTTTGTGAACTTGACAAATTAGCCCGAAGACAGTGCAGACCTAAGTGAACCACGTCTCTCAAACTTTGCATTTAGGTAGGGAATTGAGCTGCAGTATTTCTGCAGTCAGGTCTATCTACGAGTCTGAGAGCTCCACGAGCGGTCAGCCCCGTTCGAGAGCTCCACGAGCGGTCAGCCCCGTTCGAGAGCTCCACGAGCGGTCAGCCCGCGCAGCAGCTAGTAGGCGCCGCATCGGTCAGACATGCACCAGGCTGACCGCCGGGGAGAACCGGGTGGAAGAATGGAACACAGAAGTGTCCCTCCAAGAGCTCCGTCATATTTCAACCCATTTTTATGTTAAATGTACCGGGTTTCACCCTTTTACCCATCGACATATGCCCTATTAATTATTTTACCGTATTTTACATCTAAATTTCATGGTTAAACAGTACATGCTACATATTAAAATGATAGTTAGCTAGCTACTTCCATAAACTCAGCTAGTTTAAAGGTGGCAGTGACCTAAAATACATAAATATAATTTAACTTACCGAAAAAAAATGAAGTGGAGACTCCTTGGACGCTCTATTAATGCAATTAATGCCACAGCAAGTCATTTTGTCCAACAATTGCACAAATAATATCCAAAAAAGAATACACAAACAGAGAGACTCAAAATCCCGAAACAGTTTCCAGGCCAGACCGAGGCTCTACTGAGGCCTGTCCACGGAGCTAGCTCTGTGGTCACGTGGGTCTGATGCTCATTAATTATACAGAATTTTAGGCTTCTAATACACTTAAACAGAAGAGTGAGTAAAAAAATTCACCCCCCTCAGAATTGTCTTCAGTGTAAACTAGATCATTTAAACAATAAACATGTTTTGGTACCAGGCTGTAAACATGTTTATTTCTGCTGTGAAATTGGTATTTTTAACATGGAAGTCAATGAGGATTTGCTCACTTTTGACACCAGCCCCTAGTGGATAAGGGTGGAACTGCAATTTTTGGTACTTCCGGGTTGGGACCAATTTTAGAGCCGCATTGTGGGGGCTTGGTTCTGACTCAGTTCTGTTTGAGAAAGTCACTCACTTCTGATCTAGATTAGACAGAACCAAACTGAAATGTTTTGATTTCATGATTTCTTAACACAACTTTTCTCTTTGACCCCGGCACGTGTTTCCAGACGGTCACTCAGATTGACTCTGGTCAATAAAAACATTAAACCCTTAATTCTGCACACTGGGTTTAGGGTTTAAACTAGGAATGCTCCAATCCAATAACGTGACCAGAAGTTGGGCTCAATCCTGTTGTCATGATCTCTAGGAGACTCTGGAGCGAACACACCCGGACACAGTAGAAAGTTTAACAGTTTATTCAAAAGTTCAGCAAGCTCTTGGTGTGGTTGAGGAACTCTGGAAGGGTTCGCAGAGGCGGCTCTGAAGGGGAAACAGAAGGTGAGTCGAGGAGCAAGGAGGCAGTGTTCTGATAATATAATGAAGAGGGAGAGCTTACTGGTTTGCGTGGCGAGGAGCGTTTGGAGGAGAGGTGAGGTCCAGTGTGGGAGTGTGACAGGCTGTGGTTTAGATCTCTTGGAGCGCTGGAGGCTCGAGGGTGGACAGGCAGGTGGAGAAGAGGAGGATCCAACAGGGCGTAGACGATAGAGCTGGAGCACTGCAGCAGGGTGAAGCAGATACCGTGGTTCTGGGAAGACACTGGGAGATCCTTAGGTCTGGGAACTCAGAAGGTTGGGACGGCTGTGAGACAAAACCTCACAGGTGAGAAGATCACTGAGAAACACAAGGAAGTGCAGAGCTGACCTGATTACCAAGCTGTGTGGCTTAATCATCTGGCATCTGCTTTCCTCCTCCGGCCTGCTTTTAATTGCTCCACCTTGATTGCCTCTGATCGATGGCACCTGGTGCGGCCTGCCTGTCACACCTGAGGAGAAGAGGTGAGGATCCACACACACACACAGAACCTCACAGTACCCCCCCCCCCCCCCCCCCAACGGACACCACCCGGCGGCCGACCTTGAGAGGTCGAGGTAACAGACCGCTCAAAATAGATGATGAGGGACGGATCCAGGATAGCAGAACGAGGAACCCAGGAGCATTCCTCAGGACCACAAGCCAGCCAGTCGACCAAGTATTGGCGACCACGTCCCCGAGGGCGGACGTCCAGGATGGCCATGAACGACTCAGGCGGGCGGAGGGGGATCGGCAGGAGGGAACAGGGGGCTTGAGGATACAGGTCTGATCTGGGAAACATGAAAAACTGGGTGAACACGAAGGTGGCTAGGGAGTCTCAGACGGACAGCCGAAGGACTGATGATGGCAACAATAGGGAAAGGGCCTAGAAACCGGGGAGACAATTTCCTGGGAGCGCCTTTGAGCGGGAAATGCTGGGATGAAAGCCAGACCTCCTGACCAACGGAGTATGTGGGGGCTGAAATGCGACGCCGGTCAGCATACCTCTTGTTTTGGGCCGAGGTTCACTGCAGGGCTGACCGAGTATGGTTCCAAACTCGTTTGCAGGCCATCATGTACAAACACTCTCTTTCACTCGACTCCTTGGACTGTGGCCTAACCACTATCCATGAAGTCAGGATTCCTACACTGCCACATGCTGTGCCAACTTTTGTGTGTAAGTACAAGATTCCCCTGGCGTCTCACGGAACAGTCCAGGAAATCATTGAAAGCCTCTTGGCGAAAGGGATCATCCGACCCTGTAACGGCACCTACTCGGCTCCCTTGTGGCCAGTAAAGAAACCTAATGGTAAGTGGTGACTGACCATTGACTACAGACAACTCAACAAACAGGTTCCCTTGTCTAGGTGGCTGATGGCCCGCTTGCAACAAGAACTCCCGAAAGTGAAAGACGCTAAATACTTATCCACCTTTGACATTGCGTCTGGATTCTGGACAATTCCTGTCCATGAATCTGACCAATATAAACTAGCCTTTTCCTTTGCCAACCGCCAGTACACCTTCACTCAGTGTCCTTTTGGCTACACCAACTCACCAGCTGAGTTCAACATCTTCTTGGACAAAGCCTGCCCTGATGCTCGAGAGCGAGGTACCCTCATCTATGTCGACAACATTCTTGTTCGTAAGCGTACCTTGGATGACCACCTGTCCGAGCTGGACCACGTAATGGGTCAGCTAGCAGCTGCTGGTGCAAAGATTTCTCTCGCCAACGGTCAGTGGTGCAGGTCAAAGGTTCAGTTTGTTGGCCTCCTTGTGGGACCACAGGGAGTGCAGCCTCAACTTGGCAGAATTCAAGGTGTGGCCACCATCAAACCTCCTACGAATGTCTCAGAACTTCAGAGTTTTCTAGGGGTGTGAAACTACTCACGCCAGTTCGTAGAACACTATGCTGAGATAGCGAGACCTCTGACTAACCTACTGAAGAAGGGTGTGCATTTCGTGTGGACTGAGCAGCAGCAACAGGCCATGGATGATCTGATCGCATTATCTCAGCTCCGTGCTTGGCGCTCCCCGATTGTGACAAGGAGTTCCACCTTGAGGTCGGGTTTTTCATCTCACCGTTTGAGTGCCGGTCTCTACCAAGTATATGACTGCGACAGGTGTGTCGTAGCCTATGCTAGTAAGCTCTTGTCCTGTCCTGAGTTATATTCTGGTTGTGAAAAAGCTTTGCTTTCCACCATGTGGGCAGTTAAACACTTTTCTAGCTACACCGGTGGACAGAAAATCATCAATGAAACTCATCAGCCAGTGACCTTCCTTAACAGTCAGCACATCAGAGATGGTGTGGTTACCATCCGCAAATCGCGTCATGGCTGCTGGTTCTTCAAAGCTTCGACATTGAAGTACGCTACGCCCAGAACCGCTGTAGCCCTCTTGGCATGGGTTTGGCTGCGTGCCAACACTGCTCGAACGCCGCCGTCACGTCAGTCCTGCCAGCTAGCTCTCCTCAGATTCTTCTAAACCCCAACCACCACTACTTCGACCAGTCTCTCTGTGTGGACTTGCCGACCATGTACGTCGATGGCAGTTCTTTTCGACACGGTGATGCGCCTAGGTCAGGCGTGGGTGTCGTCTGGTTGCACGCTGACCAGAAGGACTCCCAGTGTTACTTGTTAGGTCTTAAGAGCTCACAGTTTGCAGAAGTGGCTGGGATCTTGATAGTACTAAAAGTTGCTGTGGACCGTGGAGTCTGTGAGCTGGTGATTTGCACCGACTCGGACTACGCCTGCCTCAGTTTCATTTGTCATCTACCTTCTTGGAAGAGTAACGGGTTCCTGACCTCAAACTGGAAGCCTGTTAAACATCAGGACCTCTTCATGGCTTGTGACGCCCTAGCGGCGTCACATGACATGCACATCTATTGGCGTAAAGTCAAAGGACGTTCTCGTGCACCCGGAACTGACAAGGATCTGAATGACCTTGCAGACTCTCTTGCCAAACAAGGTGCGGCCGATGGTACTCCATGGGTCTTCAACCCCTTGTGGCTCCCTTAGGAAATGTCTTCTCGGTCTGACCCACGCCGTGTGTGTGTCGTGACTCGAGCTCAGGCCGCTAACACGTCCACCTCCAAACCATCTGAGGGTGTTGTGTCCGTTCAACCTGTCTTTTGTGGTAGCGATCTTGTCAGTCTTCAGTCCCAGGACCCTGCTATAAGCAGAATGATCCTGTACCTTTCTGATCCTACAACTCATCTGCCTTCTTCCGTCGAGCTTGACTCCGTTCCTGAGCTCCGTGCTCTCTTTCATGTTTGTGTCATGCTGAGAATGGTTGAAGGGTTTCTGATGCTTGCCTCCAAGCCTCCTTTGCCACCTGTCCTCGTGGCACCACAGTCACTAAGGGGGGGCATGATCACACAAGCTCATGACTCTCCGTCTGCCGGACACAAAGGTGTCAAGGCCATGTTCGGTGCCCTGACCCAGGTTGGCCCGGGATGCGTCGCAACATCTCAGACTATGACCAGCGTTGTTTG